TTTTGCACTGAAAACTAAAGTCTATTCCATTAAAGCATGCACGTATATCTACTTCTCTATCATTTTTACCCCTATATTAACAAATATGTGATTGCATTTTACTAGTTTATCTGAATTAAGTAGGTGTAAACAATATCAATCTTTTGAAGAAGGTAAGCTAAATTGCCTACTTTTTGTCAAAAATTTCGGTGAGATTAACAATATATGAAAAAAAAGAAAACCACACTTGGAACTACAAAAAGATTGTATATTTTTTCTTTTACTAAAATCAACAATCACACTAGTAGCCTGCATAGTACTAAGTCTTATCAGTAAGTGATAATCTCTAAACCTGTTAGCAAGTAATATATAAAAACTACTTCTAAATGACAGGTGCTATAACTTAAGAAGTAAGTGATAATCTCTAAAAATTCTGTTAGCAGGTAGCATATGAAAACTACCTTTAAATAATAGTTGTTATCTCATAGTTCAAGTTTCCATGTCTTATGTTAGAACTCTTTGGGTTTTGCACTAGCATACTGTATTTTTTCTTAATAAAACGTTTTTTGAAAATTGTGGTCCAAGTGATCGTCCAAAAGAGTTGTTGAAAACCTTTAAAATTTTTTACAAAAAGAATCCTAAAGCTATGTAGTTTAGGGATTTCTGGGGATCCCTGAGGCTTTATAAAGTAGTTGTGCACTAAATATCAAAAGTGTAACAATGTAGTCAATAATTTGGCCAAAATTTGGTCAAATTTTGTACTACAGAATTGCATATCTTTACTAAAAATGAAATAATTTGTGTTATACAACTTTGAAAAATCACTAACTGTTTATTAGTATAATAATTCTGCATATAAAAGTTATCTGTATTAGGCTTAACTTATTTGTGAGACGAGCATATAGAAATTTTTATTTTTTCTAAAATTAGATTAAAATCTTATTATTAGGCATACAACTTATATAGTATATTTACATATGATTATTATTTTAGCTCAAAATACTTGTATATAGTAATTTAAGCCATAAGGTTTTAGTTGGCTGGCTAAGCCAGCCAACCAAAAATATCAGCTAAGGGTTAATATGTAGTGGCTAGCTAAAGAATGGTTAGTTATACTACCAAAATCTAGCAAACTAATCAAAATTTCAAATTAAAATGATAAAATTTACCTAAAATTAATTGAATTCTACTAATAAACAGTAGATTATATACTAAATCAATTGTCTAAATGGCATTTTGTTATATATAATATATATAGTTAGTTATATAGCTAGTATTATTGCTTAATGCTAGCTTAGCTTTAATATATTTGACTTTAAATTTGGTTTATATAGTATAAAAAAAATATTTAGCTCTTAGCTATATTAGCTAGCTATTAGCTTTATATTGGCTAGCTTAACTAGCTAAACTAGCTTAGCCATGGCTGCTTCAGCTAGCTTAAAACACTACTTGTATAATATAAGTTAAAATTTGAACAAATATATAATAGATATTAAACAAACTTTAAAATGGAAGATTATAGAAATTCCACATACAGAATATCTAAACTAAATTCAGTTAATAAATTGTTATTATAATAAGATCATATTTTGTAATGACTAGTTAGTATAGGCGAGTGCATATAGACAAAATATTATCGTATTATTTGAAAACTGTTTTGATATATGACCAAAAATAAATATAAATCTGATGAAGGTTTTTAATACATTCTAAAAATGGGTTTCAATATATTATTTTTCTTGAGATATAATTTTTACACACTTTCTTGACAAAAAAAAATTTGAAATATTCTTAGTAAAAAAGAGTGATAGAGAATTAATATAAAAGATGGGTTTTGGAATTCTTGTTTCTTACTAACAATTATTGATAATTTTAATCAACAATGATACCCAAATACAAAGTTGTTGCTGTTGCTATAAAAGCTATTAATGTATTAGTTGATAAAGAGAGAAGTTTTAAATTAGAGATTGTTGAGTTGTTTAGGAGACTTGGTTTTCAAGTCATCTACATAGGGTAAGTTTTTTTTTTTTTACTGAGTGTTTGTCTAATTATTGTATATCTGAAAGTACATCCACATTGGTCTAAATGAATTAAAAGCACATCATGGCCAACTGTTTCAGCAGTTAAACGTTCTTCTTTTGGTTTCCAATGTTTTTGCAATCAGTTTTATTCTGGGTAAATTAATAGCAAATTAGGTACATACTTTGTTGATTATTATGAAATAAATACTCATATTGTTGTTTATATAGGGGTAAAAATGATAGAGAAGTAGATATACGTGCATGCTTTAATGGAATAGACTTTAGTTTTCAGTGCAAAAACTGAAAATCCAAAATAGGCAGTATAATATAGATGTTATATAAAATTGCATTTGTAATAATACTAAAGAATATTGGTTGTTGGATTCTTCTGTCATTAGAGAATCAGACAGGGCTCTCATCCAACCTGCGAATAGTGGGCTATCAGAGTTGTAGTGATCCCCAATGATTCAAGATTTAGTCTTTGCGCTATTGAAAGAGCGATCACATCTATTTTTTCGATAATATTAACCAACAAAGCTCATCTTCCAACTTATACAGTTCTTGATCGGTTACAAGGAGAACCTTTTTAATTCTGGTTTTTATATTGATGAAGTTTTAATAATAAATAAATTTAATTATAATCTAATAGCATATTGTTGATGAATGTGGTTTTTGTGAATAATGAAATTACCTAAATCAAAATTGGCAAATTAACTTTAGATTGATGCTTTATTCTATATAGTTGCGCAACTTTCTATAATATATTACTCTGTATTTTGTTCTTTAATCTATTTTATTTTTTGCTATACAAATAAAGCCGGCCCTGGTGGTTGATTTCACATATATAATCACATTTACTTTTGCATGTATATTTCAGAAATTTATCCTGCCTTCTCGCAATACTTGCTCAAAATCAGATATAGTTAACAGGTTTTTATAATAATAGTTAACTATATATATATCTTTTTTTGAGCTTGTGGGAAAAATATCAATATATAACTCACATATAATCGAGAATTTTTAAAAATATTTCTTGGTAAAAGTGATCAGTATGACAAACTATCACACATACATAATTTTTTTATTTAAATAAAAAATATTAACTATCAAGAATGAAGTAAAAATATTTTTCAAAACATGTACAGTAAAATTCTTTTTTTAAATATTATATAAATTAATATCAAACATGCAAACTCAAAGAGGTGAATCTAAAGATTTATCCAAAGTTAGCTTATTAAAACTAGAAAATGCTAGGCTTATAACTAGAATCACAGAATTAGAACAAATAGTAAAAGAAAAAAATGTGCTTGAGACTAAGCTAAAAAAGATTATAGAAGAAAATACTAAGAAAGCAAAGTTAAGAGATGCTGAGTTCAATGCAAGAATCATAAAACTAAAATGATTAGCAAAAGAAAGTGAAGAGCAATTTATAAAATTGAAGCAGAAGCAAAACAATGCTGTAGTTAGATTAGAAAATAGCAATAATTCATATAAAAATGATAATATATCTGACCTTGTTATAAAATTGTTAGAGAATGATACTCCTTTATCTAATATAACTGATAATGTTTTAAGTTCTGATGTATATCAGGAGTTGAAGATTCAATACTCTATATTATCTATTCATACAAAGTCTAAATTATCAAAAGATAAAAAGTTCAAATTTCTAGATCAGGTATATAAAGAACAGATTAGTAATAAAATAAGAGAAAGAAATTAAAAGAAGAAGTTTAGATCCCAAGATTTATCTTTAGATAATAATTCTTCAGAACAGTCTAATTCATTATATGGTGTAAAAACTGCTATATTCAAAACAAATCCAAAGAATTAAAATCTAAATATCCCAGAAATAAGTTCTAAGTCCAAATTACCTACTAATATATTGCCTAATTAAAAAATTCTTTATAATTAAAAAGTAGAACAAGGTTTAAAACTCAAACTATTTATTGTGGCAGATCATAATGAAATCGGATTAAAATGAAACTAGGAACCTTTCTTGCTCATCTTTAAAGCTTATAAAACCCATTTATACTCTTTTATTAATAAAACTCACTCTAAACCCTAAC